AAAAAAAAAAAGAAACCTGGTACATCACAGCCACATGCTGGCTACCACAGTGTGACAGAAAGACTGCAAAGACGGACTCTATGAAGAATGTGCCATCAAGATTGCAGAAAGAGTCCAGGACTTCTTCAAAGAAATATGCAGATGGCAATATAGCTCACAGAAAACAAAAATTGGCTGAAACTTAAAAATGTGATGTTTAGGGGAGCTCTGGTGGCCTAGTGGCAAGAAGCTGTACTGCAATCCCAAAGGTATACGGTTCAAATCCACCAGATGCTCTGCCGGAGAAGGAGAGAGAATTTCCTCCTGTACCAGTCAGATCTGATTTGACGGTAAATGCACAAAAAATAATAAAATAAATTTTTTAAAAAAAATGTGATGTTTAGAGTCCAGAGTGAAGGCTGCACAGTGGAGTGGACTTGGGGAGAGGGACTGTGGAACAATGAAAGAATTGTTCTTTTACTTTTCAAAGAGAAGAATGAACTGGGGGGGAGGCGTGGGCAGGGAGAAAAGTGTAACAACGAATGAGTGGAAACCCAAAGTCTCTGTAAACTTTCATTAAAATTAATAAATTTTTTTTAAATTTGATGTTTAGTTTTCAGTATAGACTACATGTCAACATCAAGAAAAGCAAGATCCATACCCCTCAGCCAGTTCACAAAATCACAAACACAGGAACTACTGATATAATCAAAGATTTCCCCCCCTCTTTGGATCCGCACTGAAGACCCATGGAAGCAGCAGTCAAGACATCAAAAGACCCGTTGCTCTAGGCAAAGCTGCTGCCTGGGACTTCTTCAAAGTGCTAAGGAGCAATGATGTCAGTTTAAAGACTAAGGTGCACCTGACCCCAGCAGTGCTTCATATGCTTGTGAGATGAGGGCAGTGAATAAGGAAGATCAAAGAACTGGGGGAGCTCTGGGGCCGAGTGGTAAGGAACTGCACTGCTAACTCAAAGGCAGGTGGTTTGAATCCACCAACTGCTGCGCAGGACAAAGATGGGCGGTGTCCTCCCGCATGATTTACTGCCTCTGAAAATTCACTGGAGGGTCAGTGATGAGTCGGATCTGACTCGATGGCACCCCCCAAAGAGACATAACTGACATCCAAGCAGATATACGCACACCCATGTTTATCGTGGCTTTGTTCACAACAGCAGGGAGTTGGAAACAACTCAAGTGCCCATCAACAAACAAATGGATAGAGAAGCTGTGGTATATGCACACAATGGAATACTATGCTGCATTGATAAACAAGGAACTCATGCAATATTATGCAAAATGGGTGACTCTGGAGGACATTACGCTGAATGAAATAGCTCAGTCACAAAAGGACAAATACTGCATAGTGCCACTATTGTAAAACAGGACTAACATTGGGGTTGTGGGGAGAGTGAGAAAGATGGGTTCAATAATGTATACTGCATCAAAACAGATGAGGGAGGAAACTGTTTAAAAGGGAAAGGTGATTTGGTATTTTTGTCATGACAGGAGTCTAGAGCAGAGGCTACATCATGGTGGAGTGGACCTGGGGGAGGGTTTGTAAAACAATGAAAAAATGTTTCCTTTACTTATCCAAGAGGGTAGTGTTCTG